CACATACCTATATATAACATCTATTTCATTAGAACTATTTTCTTCAGCAAAATAGGAAAAAAATTTGGGAAACCAGTCGTTTTCGCAACTTGTTTTATTTGACTTGTAAGTATTTGTAGCAATCCATGCATAATCCTTTATAAATAGCTTGTGATGAATTGCTTGGATAAAAGTCGAATTTCCTTCAAGACGATAGACAAATTAGGCGAAAAACCCATGTTTATATGCAATTCGTAGCGGAAATTTAGCTATAATAAAATGTTTACATTGACCGCTCGCCCCTCACAACATGGCGTCGCGCACGTACCACTGCCAGACGGAAGTTCAGTCAGTCACGCGCTTCCTCAAAGATTTCCGGGATTTTCCAACATCGCTCCTGGAGYCTCGGCACGGGAAGTCTCTACTGTAATGAACAAACGTTCGACTCGCGTTTTCACGGCTAAGTTCGCTGGCGGAGACCAGCAGCAGGAGCACAAACTGAGAGCGGATGGCAGAGAGGGCCTCGGTGGTCAGATGAGGGAGGTCCAGGTCATCGGGATGGCAGAGGTTACTTGCCCGGCTGACCGAGCATCGTTGCGGGTCAGTGTGAGCAGCATCAAGGAGTCCGTCAACGAGGTGACCGAGAGCGTGACGCGGAGACTCGACTACATTTTACAGGCTCTCAGGTACAAACAACTGGGGTTAAGTTTGTAGCAGAAAAAGTGGCGCACTTCTAGGGATCATGCTACCTTGGTGAGCAGCATCTTTTTTGAACGCATGGACGGAGCCAGGGGGTGGCCAGGGGTGGCCAGGGCCACCACAGACAAATCTTTGGCCACCCGATGGAGATGTGACGTTCGCAAACGATCCAAATCTTTTGAACGACTCTTTACAATGAACGATAGGAGCCGAATCGCGGACAGGAACGAGCCATTTGTAGTTTTATTTCTTTTATTCCTCATATAATCTTTATTTTTTTCATACTTAAATCGCTCCCGCTTTGCTTTTTCACGGAAAACAGGCGGAGTTGTGGAGTTCAGAAGCTCACAGTGGGGGGGGGTCTGCTTAATGCTGCATTCACACCGAACGCGATTTCAGCTTCAAAATCGCAGCCAACGCTGAAGTTGGTCGCTTGTGCACTTTGAGGTCAGACGTAGGTCAGCTCTTGAAGCGCTGCACGGCAAGAGCCTCCCCGCCCCTCCCTCCTCTGTCGGGCTCTAATGTCGGATGAGGAAGTGGCTTTGCTTTATTTACAGAGAGCAAGAGCATGTCACGTTC